CACACACACACACACTGACTGAGACGCCGTGTCCCATGTGTGCAGATGAGGGAGCTGGTGTCCACTCTGTCCAATGACTCAGCAGTTCGTGTGGTTGTCTTCAGGAGTTTAGCGCCAGGTGTTTTCTGTGCAGGTGAGTGAACACATGAAACCCGCATGGCCTCTGGATTAGTGATTAAAGCTGGTGAAAATGACGTGTGGTGGTGTATGTCACGTTGTACACATACAGGTGCAGACCTGAAAGAGAGAGCTCTGATGAACAACACTGAGTCTGATCTGTTTGTTCACGGGCTGCGATCCCTCATGACTCAGATAGGTAAGAAAGAGAAGATGTTATGTTGAGAGTGAGCAGATATTTCACAAAAGCCAGGCCCTGAGAGTGTACAATATGTATATAAGAACTTTCTTTTTCTTGTGATGCTCTGGCAGCATTGTTGCCCATGCCGACCATCGCAGCGATGGACGGCGTTGCCCTGGGAGGTGGGTTGGAGTTGGCTTTGGCCTGTGACCTCCGCACTGCTGGTGAGTGACCTGAACCTTCACCTATTAACCCTGAGCTGGATGAGTCGCCATCACACTTGAGTACATTTAACATTCTTCTTTCGTTCCTTAAGGTGATGTAAATGGGGTATGAGAGGGGGTGTCATGTACTCTTCACAGCTGTCACTAAACCAGTCATATTAGATCAGTGGTTGAGTGTAAACAGGATGGTGGAGGATAGCAGCACCCACTTAGGGCCATTCTTCTAGACTGACAACTCCCTTATCCCATCAGTGTAGATTAAAGCAGTGGTTGTCAACCTGGGCATTGAGACTCCCCAAGGGATCACAAGGAATATTCTGCAGGGTCACAAGATGATAAACAAGTAAGGAAAGAAGAAAAAGAAAAAACACTCCTGCTACACAAAATTGTGTCAGATTTTTTTTTATCAAATCTTTATTTTTTCTTCTGAAATGTTGGAGAATTGTGCCTCTTCAGGACTCTAAAACCTATTCAAATGAAACAATCAATTATTGGACTTCTCACAGCTCATAGACACGATCTGTGATTAGGGAGCCGTAGTAGATATTAAATATTAGGTTATAAAGGGTCAAACCATTTATTTATAATTTCATTCATTCTTGGTATTTACAGTATCTGATGTTCTTATCATAAAAAAAAAATTTACAACGTCAGTCAAAACCCTAATTTTATTTTCATAATGTGTAATTTTTGTGTATCTGAAGTTGTTTGTGAGAATACAATTTGTATTCATAAACATGGGCAGACTGCAAAAATGAGTCCATTAATCGATTAGTTGATCGACAGAACTATTTTGATAATTAAATAATGGCAAAAATGCCAAACATATGCTGTCTGTAGCTTCTTAAATGTGAGGATTTTATGCTTTTCTCTCTCTGTCACACATCGTGTAAACTGATAATATAATAATAATATGTCTGGATTTTGGACTGTTGGTCAGACAAAACAAGACAAGATTTGAAAATGCCACCTTCATCTGTGGCATTTTCACTATTTTTGGGAATTTAGTAGACAATTAATTGAAAAAATAATGATCAGATTAATCAATAATGAACATAACTGTTAGTTAAATGAGATTTTCAAATTTTTATTTGGTTAAAAAAAAATCCATTTAACTGAGGAAACACTTACCGATAACAATCATGTGTAAGATAATGCACAAGACATATATAATATTTCCATTTGATGAAATGGTACAGCCATCAAAATTCTTCCTTATTCATATTTCACTAAGTATAATGATCATATACTGTATCTTCCATGAAGAACTGGAACATGCCTGTACAGAATATATCCTTTATAATACTGGCAGACTGTGGAATAACAGCATTTTAAATCATTTTATTAATCTTAAAGCTACTTCAAGAAAAATAAAAGGGTAAAACTGGTGTTAAAGAGCTTAAGCTTTTGAACTATTTTATAAAATACACTATAGAAATGCTCAGCGGTCAACAACAAATCTGCAGTAGCTCCTGAGAAGCTGACATTTTGGAGATACGTGGTTACCTCCCAGCATTAATGATCTGCCTGCTGAGCTCAGGGACTAATGATAGCTGGTGAGGCCAGACACATCTGCCCAGCTGTTCACGTAACTGAATCTACATGCGATTGGTCAAATCAGTCGTGGCAGCTCAGTGATTGGCTGAGCGCAGACGAGCTAGGTGAGCAGGTGTTTGCGTCTATTGCTCTGACAGAGGCATCAGTCAGACTTTGCGCCCTCCCCTGCTTGATGGCACTCAGCAGCACCAGCAACCTTCAACTGTCCTCTGTGTTTGTGTGTGTTTCAGCATATTCCGCACAGATGGGTCTGATTGAGACCACACGGGGGCTGCTCCCAGGGGCGGGTAAGACGAAACAGAGGTCACACCAAAATAATGACCTAGCATAGTACTGATTGTGTAAGTAGCGAGATGAAGCAGCTGTACAGAAGTTGACCTTGAGGTGGTTTGTCCTGCAGGGGGCAGTCAGCGGCTGCCGCGGATGATCGGCATGACTCTGGCCAAAGAGCTCATCTTCACAGGTGGTATTACAGAAAGGCTGACATGTTGCAAGACACGGGGTGCTTATCGTTCACTCTCTCTCTCTCTCTCTCGTCTGTCTGTTATCAGGTAGGCGTGTGGGAGGGCAGGCGGCCCTGGAGATGGGGCTCGTAAACAGAGCTGTAGAACAGAACCAGACTGGAGACGCTGCCTACAGAGAGTCACTCAGCCTGGCCCGAGAGATACTGCCCCAGGTTAGAATACAAACACACACTTTTACCTCTCTGCTACAGCTCAGACACTGATGCATTGTTCCTCCTCCAGGCAAGGCACACACTCTTCCTCCCTGCTTCTCTCTCTGCTTTCTTGTTCAGCTCTTTTCATTCTGCCTCTCTCCCTTCCTGGTGTTGTCTTCCCACCTTCCCCCCCTCCTCTCCCTCCTCTCTTCCCTTTCTCCAGGCCTCTGTCGCTCTGAATTTCTTTCACTCCAGTTCAGATGCCCGCAGTTGGCAGGGCCAGAGTGGCAGTCAAGTGGAGAAATGGACCACAAATAGCACCACACACACACACACATATTAAGCAACACATGCTTGTGTTGGTGTGGATTGAATGATTGACAGGAGTTTGCATTGAATGAAAGTGAGGAAGGATGGAGGAGATAATAAGCTGTCGAGCCCTCAGATTTTTCTATTAGTGTTGTGGCTTCCTGTGAAATTGTATAAGGGACGCTTCTCTCACAATGCTTTGCTCAATAGAGACGGAGGACTTTCTCCCAGCTTTTCTTGCTAGAACTGGGTGGAAACAGAGAGTTTGCAGAATCAAAAGTCTTTCGGGCTGTGACATGTATGTAAACACTGTCATACGATATAATGTTGCTCATTTTGGTATCGGGAGAGTACCTACTCAATCGACTGTTGAAAGTCCTTACAGTTGAATTTGAGCACTGTTTAATTTGGTACTCCTGAGATTCTATATGTAACTTAAATAAAGCTGGAGGATTTGTAAGAGATACATAAAAAGCGGTCAACATCTGTGCTATACAGGCCAAGAAATCCTGATTTTTTTTGTACTTAGTATGGGTAAAATCCCCAAAACACTCCATCCTATGTTTCCCATAATGCAGTTTGTCTGTCTTTCATTAGACCCTCCCTGCCCTGTAAACATCCACATCTTTCAAACCCCACACCCCCAGTTTGTAATTAAGGGTTCCTGTTGTAAATCTCCAAGCTCGAGCCCAGACAACCCTTCTGACATCACCATGACATCATCAGGGTTATTTTTTCTAGATTTGACAAAGCTCCTCCACAGAATACATAATACAACTGTTCTCACAGGCTCAGTCGTACTACTCATGACGAGCAAATTGTTCACCTTTAAGTACGTTTTCAGTTTGATCTCTTTTTGGTTCCTCCTCTATGTCTCATGGCCAACAAATTGAACTTCCATGGTGACGGCTTTAACAGTCAATATGTATCGTGTCTTAATAATTCCCTCTAACTCTTTCATTCCTGTTGCCCAGGGTCCTATTGCTGTGCGGATGGCAAAAGAGGCAATGAACAGAGGCATCGAGGTACCTTCATGAATCATAGTTTTTATTTCCTTATATGTACATCAGTGATAGTAGTGACTGAAATCTGTCTCTTCCAGGTTGACATTGGTTCAGCAATGGCAATAGAGAGGATGTGTTACGCCCGGGTAAGACTTTAATGTTTTGAAAATACTAATAATTTTGCACGATTGCTGTGAGTCTGGCTTTGTGTTTTAACCAAAGCCCAAGACACTGATGCTTTGTTACCAATAAAATGATCAGTATAAGCAGTGCATTGGGCTCAGCTTTGACGCTCACTCCCTGACATTTGTGAAACCCCTGAGGCTGCCTGTAGTCAGATCGTCTGCTCCAACCCTTGCCTTCTCTTTTCAGGTCATCCCCACGCAGGACAGACAGGAGGGTATGGCTGCCTTTATAGAGAAGAGACCCCCGCGGTACACTGGGGAATAAACTCTTGCGAGCTATTGGATTTCTCTCTCACACAGACGTGCCCACACAGATACACACCGCTCTCTAAAACCTCATGTCTGATAGGCAATTAACTCCCATTGATTGTGTGTGTACATCCTAGCCGTGTCGATACATTAGTTAGGGTCAGCGTGAGTTCTCAGTGACTGTTCGTGACATCCAGGATGAGACTGACTGAAGGTGGTTTTCATGTGAAGGTTTATACCGTTTTATTCACACGTTCCATGCACCATGTGGTGTAAAGCTCATATTTGAAATAAAAAGGCAACGTGAGCATCGTCTCCAGTTTATGGGAATGTACATTCTTTATTTCCAAACTTGAAAACTTGACTCTCAGCAGCAACACGGCAAGGTCATAGCAGACATACAGTATCTTGACTTTTTGGATCTTTCATCTGATTTAAATTCTTGGGAAAAATTGAACTGGCCTTCATTCCAGTGGCGATGTTCAGGGTCTCAACTAAACAAGTCCACATTATCAGGAGCAACAGAAAAATACAAAAACAGATTCTGTGTCGTCTGCTGCTCTTTGCCCTTGTTAAAGCTGATGAGATCAGCTCAGGACACATGCATAATTAGCAAGCTCATACAACAACAAATGATTTACAGAAAACAATAAAGCCATAATTCACTGAGCAGATGAGGTGATGTATGTTTTGCTGACAGCTGTTATAGAGTACCATTTAGTAGCCCAATATATTATCTTTATTTTATTTTCAACATAAAAGTTATCTGTATAAGTCTTGTGACCTGTGACGTTATTCCTGCCGAAGCCTCAAAAAAGTGTTTTTTTATTTTTATTTTTTAAAAGAGTCATCACTGTTGTATCAAGGATTTGACATTAGTTTTGATTGCATAGAGATTGATGACGGGACCTTAATGGAATCAGGACCTCAGATGAAGCAGAAAAATGTGGGCAACAGCAAATGGAGGCTTCTCTGGACAGCAGAAGCATACCTGGTAAAATGGCATCCTGGTGGATACTAATGTCATATGGCCAGTCATTTCAGAAAAAGAAAAATACCCATAAATATTTCTGATAACACCCCCAGTCTCTCTCCTCCAGGTAAATAGTGTTTCATCTCCGTTTACCCCTCATTTGTTTTTAATCAGATAAACAAACAACGGAACAGACTGTATAATAATTTCCATGCAACAAATTCAACCCGTCCTGCACAAAAACAGCTAATATTCCTCTCTTATTTTCTATTTTCTATTATGTACAAATTACAAACACTCTTTAAGGTGCAGCTACTTGTACTGATGTACATACACACATGCTCACACCCAAGTGCTGCCTGTCTTTAAGACACTCGGACGCATTGGGAAGCACAGCAAACATACTGATATATATACACACACGTCTCTCAAAGAGAAAACCGCTGTTGCTCAATGTACATCCGCCATGATAATACTGACCATATCATTATTGCCATTTGTGTCCAGAGAGCATTTTGGCACTTTAACTGACAATTTAGGATATAATTTCAACTTAATCATGTGAATTCTACTCTGGATCATCTGATTTACAGTGTTGCTGGTTTTGCCACTGATATGATTCATTTAGGGCTGCCAAATGTTTAGGAAATAAAATGCACTGGAGCTTCTCAAATAGATATAACTTCTCTAGAATTTAGGTTTTCATCTTTAAAGTTTGTAACATTTGAACTCACTGAACACACCCTTGTGTGACGGGACCGCAAGTGTCCCGTCACATCAAATCAAAGGCATTATCCGATAAAAAGACTAAATGAAGACGAGAGCAACAGCAGTATTGTGGACCAAGAAGCGTGGGTTTGAGTGAGCAGAACACTGCTATAAGACAAACAAGCAGGCATTCCTAAAATGAACGGCACAAGCAATTCAGATGAAATCCGACATGCTTGAGCTCACAGCAGTATCATGCGTATATTTAATTCGCTAAAAATCGACAAATTCAGAAAACCAGAGCCCTCATTAACATACGGGAGCCAGCTCTGTGTTGACCCCCAGCTGGGCTTTTTCGGGTTTCGTAGTTGTATGTGTGCACGTTTTTTGGTTCGAAAATCATAATGACGCCAATGTCAGACTAACAAGAGCGAGCGCACAAAAATTTGATTTGAGCTTAACTGACCGACAGTTCCTCTAATAATTTAATTTTTTATCACAAGATAGACACACAGAAATATTTTTTTTTTGTCTGGAAACAAACACAAAGAAAATAAATAAAGTTAGTGTGTGTGTGCAAAGAAATGCGTAGTCTTTGTCCTTTAATATTTACTTCCTATTGTTTCTTGAAGTGTGTTTGTGCGTGGGATACGCATACATACATACGCGCACACACACACACACACACAAAATCCCCCCTGTAGTGGGATCTAGCTTATGTCTTCCTCTTGGTCAGAGAGCCTCATCTTCTGAAAGAGAAAATATACAAGAATAGTAAATCTCCAGCCACTGTGAGTGTGGTATAGCAAACGACCACTGGTGTGCGAGTCTTTACCTCTGTGAGGTTATTGTGGCGGCAGACGGCGACTTGTCTGTGTTTGTGCAGGCTGGCCGGTGCGGGCTCTGTGGTTCTGCAGGCTCTCCAGAATGCTCTTAGCCAACAGTTTGACATCTCTGTGGGTCTGCGGGTGTGTATGAACGAGCTCAAGCTGCTGCAGGCCGCCCTCCTCCAACAACATGCTGCAGTAGCGAGCGGCTGCAGAAGCACGGGGTAATACAATATCAAATCTGTCAGTGATTTGGGTAGGTGAATAAGTAACTGCCTGAACAGATGTCAGTAAATGATTTGTTTAAAACAAGAATAACATTTGGTTTTGTGTGTGCGTGCATCTGTGTCTCACCGTTCTTGCTGCACACATGTTGCATGGCCCAGGCCGCCCACAGCTGGACTCCGGGGGTGTGAAAGCACTCCAATAGGGGAAAGAAGGGGTTAAATGACCTACAGAATCAGAGACAATAAGGATTTGTTTAGTATCACACACAAACATAAAAGCATAAAGCTCAATATAAAGACACGTAAAGAACATTTTACATTACATTACAGAGTTTTTAATACTATATGAAATCATTAAATTTTTGTCAGGTTATGAGCGGTCAAACTGTCACAATTCACTGCTGAATCAGGTTCAAATCATAAATTCGGCTTTGTTATTACTGAAGAGTGGCTGCATCTCACCTGTATGCCACCATTTCACACTCTGGCGGGGGCCATTTCATGATGACAGCATGCTGGGGAGACACACACATGCAAAGACTCAAACTAACTTTTCAAAATAACTGCGCATGTGGATTAATTATTAATTATGAGTAGTTGCTGATTCCTACCAGTTGCTCCAGCAGGGAGGATCGAAGGTCCAGGCTGAGAGTCCAGGCTTCCTCTCCTCGTGACGTCAGATGTGCAAGGATGCCTGCGGCGAAGTAACTAACCTCCACCTCTGGGCTGTGCAGCAGAGTGCTGATGTGGTCCAAGAACCCCTGCACCATCAGCTCTCCATGCAGCTCCCCGACCTCTGCTATGTTGTTCTACACAACAAAGGGTGACAAGGGAATAATGATGTCTCAATGTTGCAATTTTATTTAATATTCTGTTTTTCTGAAGGGTAATAAGAGAGCAGTAAACTTACCAGCAGGCCGAGAACCTTCTGCTGAATAGAAGACTCATTGGGGAAGGACTGCAGAGGGGTTGGTGGGAGTGGGGAGGAAAGGGAGGAATGGAAAGAACAAAACAACAGTGAGTCAGCCTGCCCTAGAGGCATACATACTTATACAGAACAACACGTGATGAAGCATGATGATTAACTAGTATGGTAATCTGCTCTGGGCTGTTTTCTTGCTTGCTGTTAATTCACATGTACATATTGACATTTCTGTGTACCTCCAGAACTTTAATAAACAGGTCCAGGCCCTGGTTCTCAATAAAATGGCGGCAGGTTGTTGGTGATTCGTCAGTGAGGTTCCAGAGAGCGCTCAGTGTAAATTTGAGCGTGGCGTCCACCATGCCCTGAGTAGCCTTCTGACACACAATGTGGAGCAGTTGCTGCAGGGGGGAGAGAGAACATTTGCTATGAAAATCTACATTTTAAATGACTAAAGGTGGAAGTGAACCAGAGCTGAGATTTAAAGCTTACCTTCACTATGAACAGCTCTGCTCCCAGTTGAGCCGTTTGCTCTGTGGACAACTGGGAAAAGGAAGAGTCTATGAGATTAGGAATAACCTGGCAATGTGCCGAGTATGCACGAATAACACAAAACAACATATACCTTAGCAGCCAGTATGGAAATGATAGCCACGGCCATCCTCTGCATGTTCTGGTCTTCGTGGTTGCAGAGCCACTGCATCACTAGTTTGGCAGCTTCAAACCTTACAAACAGAGAGGAAGCAAAACATTTCTACTGTAAACACAGTACATCTTTGAAACCTTTGTTTTGGTTTCCTGCTTTGCTTCCACTGACACACATTTTCTTTTTTAACCCTTTATATATAATTAGTCCTTTTTTTTTTTACTCTGTAGCCATTTAAAACGTACAATATTAGTAAAAATGATAGTAAAATTAGTATTTCTCACCTGTTGAATGGAACCTCCTGTAAAATGCGATCACTGCACAGAGACAGCAGGCAATTCTTCTGCAGCTATAGAGAAACCACAACAGGCGTCAGTCCAGAAACAATCCGTTACTGTACTTTTCTCTTTACATTGTGTTATACAGGCCCAGTAAAATGTGCATACAGAAATACTGTTTCATTATTTTGTCTCACTTTGGGTCTGTAATTGTAAAAAGCTAACATTGTTCTCATGACATAGTTCTCATTGTATTAAATACAGATAGTGTACATGTCACTTTCCACAATGACTTGTTCTGACCAAATTCTTGCCATTTGTTTCCAGTGAAGGCTGATTTTGTTAGTGAGCACAACGGTCTTGCTTTGCACTCCATTTTATATTTGCTCATATAAAGCTTATCTTCATCCATGGGCAGGAAAACAAAAAAAGGAAGCTGTGCTTTATTGGGGGGCTGGGGGAAGTTCCCCAGCGCATCAGAATTTTCAGGCGGTCACAATGCACTTATTGCATTTTTTTTCCTCTCTCAGATGTTATCAAACTAACAGAGTGCTCCACCCTGAGCTGCAGGCCCCTGTCACCCCCTCCTGCTGACACCCTAGACTCAAGAGAAGGCCTTAGATAGGTTCGGCTTATGTTTGAAGTCTGTTTATGTACACAAGCAGGTTCTGAGTGTGAGTGAAGAATACAAACACACACGTGACCGAAAAATAGCATTTGAGCTGAGAAAGTCTGTAGTGTGAACATAATCTTAATACCTTCCAAACTTAAAGATTTTCTTTATTATGGTGTCTTTTACAATGAGCTGCTATGTTATTACCATTTTATTTGATTTTGTTCTGCTTAATTTGTGTTCTGTAAAGCACATTGCAGGTTCAATATTAACATGTTTAAATCAGTTTCAAAACAATAACAAGATTTCTTTCATTTTCATTTTAAATTTTCATTTAGAATTGCATTAACAGGTGAAAAGGGAGGTTGTAGCTCAGCTTCAATTGTTAGCCCTGCCTTAAAAAAAAAAAAAAAAAGGAACTGGCTTGGCTGGTCAATTAGTGATTGAAACTGGTGACTCACTAAGAACTGTATCGTTGGTTTCTTTTCTAAAGGTTTCCTGTGCTGGTGAACTGTATCAGGTGTATTGTTGTTTTGCCTTTTTTTGTAATTGATACATACATGACATATGCCTAGGACTAGGACAGACATGAAGCTACCTGCTGGTGGTTGGGGAATGTCCTCATGGCCTCCAGCAGGAGCTGAGTGACGGTACTCAACAGTCGCACTGGCATTCCCGCTGCCAGGTCCTGCTTCGTCAGGTTGAACACACAGGCACTGGCTGCCAGCTGGACGTTCAGTGTGGCAGGGTGATTCTTCATGCCCAAAACTACCAGCTACAATAAAACAAGAGAAGAAGGAAGTAATATTATGTTAAGTGAGACAGATGAGGAACTCAAAGTGTGCATAAGTAGAGTGGGGGTGGAGCAAGAGATGTGACACTCCATTGCTTAACACATAAATATGTGGTTTTGATATAACCTTTTAGGTATTGCGTAAGCATGATAAAACAATGTAATAATAAAAAATAATATGATAATATACATTGTTTACTTAGAGAGAAGGAAACACAAATTCTGTCTTAAAAAAGATCCAGTGTGTAACATTTAGGTGGACCTATAGTCAGAAATGGAATGATATTCATTGATATATTAGTGTAAAATCACCTGAAAATAAGAATCAACAGGTTTTCGTTGCCTTAGAATGAACTGTTTTCATCTACAGATGCAGCTGAACTGCCATCTTTCTACAGTAGCCCAGGAGGGACAAATGAAACACTAGTTTTAGATAGGGCTGTTCATGTTTTTCGCACGTTTAGTGGCCACCGTAGGTTTATCTCGGTTGTAAAGGAGGTGTGAACCGAATGAGTTGCAATCTTCAACCACACCCTACACACTGGTCCTTTAGTTGAAACATTATTTAGTTTCCTAGTAGAAAAATGTGAGTTTACTTTAAGGATGTCAGGCCTCGGTTTCTCCATGACGTGGGTCAGGCTGAACAGATGAAACAGAGCTTCTCTCACAAAAGCTTCCCTCTCGCTGTAGCGACGCAGGGCCTCACAGATCTGGGTCTCGTTGGCTTCTCCTGTTACCTGTTTACACACAAAAGACAGTTCACTGTAGCCAACTTGAATGATCAGTGTAATCAGTGTTTATCTACCCATCTATACCTACCTTTAGATTTCCCTCTCCAGAGAGGAAGTCAGAGAATCCAGCATCTGTGGCCAGAAGTCCCACAAAGGTCATCCCTGGTCTCTCCTCAACAAATGCCTTCACAGCTGCATCTGTCACCTGCAAAGTTCACATAGGTAAGAAATGACAACTTAGCTCCATAGACTGTATGCTCTCTTTGCATTGTAACTGAAACACGAACACACACACACACACACACACACACCTGTTTCCTTCCTGACACATCGAGGGAAACAAGAACAGGCAGGATCCCTGGCTGTCCAAGCAGTTGACGAGCCACATCTGAGGTAAACTGCTTATCATCACTGATGTCCAGGTGCTGTGAAGGCAGGGTTTCACACAAACACACACACATAAGTATTTTTTACTAAAACAGAAACAAGCATGGTTGATGAAATCACAGGGAAAAGGTTCTTCTCAGTGCAAATCAATCAAACAGAACCAGGTTTAAAAGAGGAAACACAGCTCCATCCTTCCACTAACCTGCAATACATCCAGCTGGCCTATGACTCCCAGCAGCTGAGCAGTGCTCATCTCCAGCCTTTTCAGCTGGTGCAGTGTTAGTGAGCGCAGCCGCTCCTTCAGGCCCAGCAGTGGGCTCAGATTGGTTACTGAAGTGTTGGAGAGATCGAGGCTCTCCAGCCGAGGCAGGGAACACACGTCTACGAGCCCAGAGTCATAGAAGTCTACGTTGGCAAGAGAGAGGGAGCGGAGGCCCTGGAGGGAGCTGAAGCGATATCGGATTGGTTCCTCCAGAGAAGACATGGTCAGACCTGTTAAGACAAGTCGCTGGAGGGACTCCTGCAGGGGGTTTCAGGAAGAAACAGTTTTAATAATAACAGAAGTTTAAATTTGTAATATCAAGGGAGGAGGGGGTAGTTTGACGGCACATTTCTTATTTTATTTTTTTTAAGTAAACTGAAATGTAGTCACTTTACCTGACAATATTTATTGGTGGCCAGTCCCTGTAGAATATCAGGAATAGTGAGGTCAGCATTGACCCTGGCAGCATCCAGCTCCAGCAGTCTGTGAGGGCAGAGGGCTTTCTGGAAGGCCTCTGCAGAGATCCGTGCTGTACGGATGCAGGCTCGTCTCAGCCGCAGGTATTCACAGTTTCGAAATACACCCACTGTGCTGTCATTCAACGGCCCTGAAGTAGAGTTAAGGTTCACCTTTGGGTTAGGGTACATGCAGGAATGAGCAAGATCCTTGCACAATATGGAGTTTTAGATCTGGTGACAACATACCACCAGACAAAGTGGCTCAATGATTTCACACATTTTATCATTATTATTTTTATCATATAGCAGAACCTGTCAAAAGTCAGTCAGGCTTTTATTTTCGTCAAGTATCAAATATTGTGAAAAGTATCAATACTTTTTTTGATACCATAAGTTTAAAACAATACTAGCATTCGGTAGTATTGAAAGTAAACTATATAAAAAAACACAGAGAAGAAAATCCACTGGTCTTCACTGTGTGCAGATTGTTCTTCTGTTTTTTTAAAGTAAAAATCGTATTATGTGTACTTGTTTTCTTTCTTTTTACCGAGTTATGGTAAGATCACTTTTTGTACTAGTGCTGTGGTATCGTATTGCATTATACATTCTGGTATTCTTAATGTTGTTCACAAATATCTTCAGAAGTCTAGATTTACCTTCAGTGGCCATCTTGGCCAGCAGCTGGTCCGCCAGCTCCTGTGGGAAGAGCACAGCCTCTCTGAAGCACAGGGAGCCATCAGGGCGCTTCACACAGAACAACTCCAGATTCTGGCTCACATAGGTCAGACACAGGTCTGTCAGAGCCGCTGGAGATGAATCATCCTGAACACAACAACAACAACAACAAAGGGATGTTTGTTGCCGTGGATGCATTTCATTTACTGATACGCGACATTATTCCTAACCACATATGAATGCTGTGTGAGATGAACTTACCGTGCTCAGGAAACTACTGGCCATGGCTATGGTTTAAAATAAACACAACGTCTGCTTTGAGCTTATGCCGCCGAGACTGGTGGATTTTTCTCAGCGCGGAAAACGGCTGCTTGTTCGCAAGCCGTTGGTAGCCGTTAGTAGCCGTTGGTAGCCGTTGGAGTGTGCCGTTGAGGTGGGAGGAGAAGACGATGGACGGTAGCGGCCGAACCAGCTAGCTAGCTCACTTGTTGTCGTCTCCGTGGAGGAAAATCGCTCTCCGCGCAGAAACGTCCAAAGCTGTCTGCTGTGGCGGAATTCATGTTTCAAAATATGTCGAGAATTTCTGTAGCGACCGAAACTCTGAATCAAGCAACGAATGTGCGGTTCCAGTTTTTCACAGCCGCCAATTAGGTCTATTTTTGACTAAGACTGACAGTAAACAAAGGTCACAGCACTGGAAGTACATTAGCGAGGGGGTTGGACTACGGAAGCCGGCGAAGGAGGGTTATGAAACCAGGAAGCGATCATCAGGAGAGTGGAGACACGCATGAGCATGTACTTCTTCTGTTTTCAAAGGAAAACTATCTCATGAGATAATATAGTAGGATTTTATTACAACTTCATGGTTCACGGTAATGATCTTCTGTTGAGGGATTTATTTGAGTGAAACGCGTTTGTAACATCGCTCAGTAACTCATTCACCAAGGTCACTCTTAGCAGTGGATGTGGGAGCTAAGCCTTCAGTCCAGGTGGTTATAGTAAAGTTAAACGACAGTAGTGCAAGTGGCAATATGGCTGGATTGATCAACTTTGAAGATGAGAAGGAAGTGAAGCAGTTTTTGGATAATTTGGGAATAGAGTACAGCTTCCAGTGCCACAGCGAGAAGGATCCTGAAGGTAAAGGACTGCGCTGTCCACACTCAGTGGTGCTGAAACAATGGGGAGACACTTGTTTGATCTGTGTTAGTTATGCTTGCCTCGTCATTTATCCTTGTGACATGTTTTCTCAGGGTGCCAAAGGCTCGCAGACTACTTTGAAGGGGTGAAGAAAAACTATGAATCTGCAGCACAAGTGCTCAAACATAACTGTGAGACGTACGGACATGCAGAGAGCTGCTATAAACTGGGGGCTTACCACATCACAGGCAAAGGTGAAACAGCACTGTGCCTTATTGCTCTCCTTATACTTCTTCTCTGGTGTTTGTGATCCTTCTGTGTTCCTGTGTTGTTGTAATTCTAAAAAGTTTCAAAGTTCATGAAGTTATTACAGGTTGAAGTTGCTGGTTATATTGCGAGATAAAGTTTTGCAAGAAACATATATGAAAACAATATTAATTGTGATGATTTCTTGGAGTTTCAATTACTTAACAGCAGTAGTTAGTAACTGGACCACCTACTACATAGAAGTTAGTGTTAGTTTAAATGAGTAGCTGGCTAATGTAAATAAATCAATAAAATATCAGTTCAAAATGCTTTTTCTTTTTCATGTGACTGTAAATTCAGTACACTTGTAGTTTAACTATTTGTTCAGACTAAAAAAAGCTACTTTAAGGCAACAGATTCGACTATGTATGTGCACATTTTTTAAACTTTTAATTCAGATACTTTTACTTGCTTAAAATCTTGCACGCAACAGAGGTGTTTTGATGTTGTTATGTCTTTTTTATTCAAGTGATGGATTTGACTTCTTCCTACAGGCGGAGTGACTCAGTGTCTGAAAACAGCATACTCCTGCTTTATGCGCTCCTGCAATGCTGGAGGAAAGAAGTCTGTGGATGCCTGCCATAACGTTGGTCTGTTAGCCCACGATGGACGAGCCATGGAGGGAGGACCCGACCTCACAGCAGCTCGGCAGTACTACGAGAAGGCCTGCGCTGGTGGCTTCGCTCCTTCCTGCTTTAACCTCAGCGCTTTGTTGATTGAGGGCAATTCCAAAGGGCTGCCACCAGATATGACTGAAGCTTTGAAGTACGCTAACAGGGCTTGTGAGCTGGGACATGTGTGGGGCTGTGCCAATGCAAGTCGTATGTACAAACTTGGGGATGGTACGGAGAAGGATGAAAAGAAAGCAGAGGAGCTGAAGAATCGAGCGAAGCAGCTGCATGGTTTGGAGAAGGAAAGGCAGCTCAAGTTCGGGGAGTGAATGCGACGCAGTTGAATTCAGTGCTCATTGTTTTGGTTTGTCTACACACGTGGTGTTCAGTGAGGTTGGTTTTTGGGAACAAGTATAAGTGTGCACAAACAAAACCTGTTCAGGATGGTTCAAAGGCAAGAGATGGTCTGTTTAAAAAAAAGAATGGTGAACTGGACATTTTTACATCCTTTACACTCTGTAGACACTGTTTGTATAGGAAGATTTCAGCCAAATGTATTCAAGATAATGCAAATTTAAGCAATAAAATGAATTGTGATTCATGTGTTGTAGCTGATTATTAATTATGCCTTTGACAGTCTATGATTTGTGGTGTAGAAAGTGATGGCATGAGCTTATAGGGTCAAAGGGCAGTTTGAACTCACACTGTCATCAGATAATTTTCTGTCTTCATACAATATTTCATATGAATATGTCATCTGTATGTTGATATGATATGACACTATTAGAAAATGTATTTTTATTTTATTTTGAACAAAACCTTGTAGAAATGGACAAACCTTGTGAAACATGACAGATGTGTGAGTACCCGACTGTCAGTGATGAACAAAATATCATTAAAACTGGTCAACATCAATTAAATGTCTTAATACTTAATACTACAGTAGGACATAGTGCTTAAAGCCCACGTAACACCGGGTAGTTTCACCGTCACTGGAGCGGGCACACCGGCGGTAGCACCACAAGAGGGAGTCAGACTCAAACACATGAACTTTGCGCCCTTTTCAAACCTCTCACAGGGCGCTTTATCCCGCAGCCACCACAATAGGTAGAGATAAGCTACATCCATTTACCTACATTATAACCGGCGCTGTTTTAGCAACATGCAGCTAATACAGACACTGACAACAACAACAACAACAACAACAACAAAAGGCTCTCCTAGTTAGCTCTAAACTAAGCCGGTGTGTTGAGAGTGATGGGCGGACTGGTCTGTTAGCTCCGCCCGTCGTGCTCCTCCTCAGTCCTCATTCAAAACAGAACACAGCTGTTGTGAGGCGCATCGTCGTGTCGGAGCTGTTAGGGCTGCTGCTGCTGCTGTCTCCTCTGATGAACCCGCCGGAGGAGAAAGACAACATCGGCGCACTTCGGTGAGTTACACAACTGTACGAGGCAAAGTTTGTTATCGTTTGCGACACCATGTAGAAACCCCACCACC